CGACTAAATGGACCACATATGCTAACTTTTTGGAGAACCGGTTGCCTGAATTATTGGACGACGTGGCATTACAAGTTTGGGCACGCATGTTTTATTTTCAAGATGGGGCTCCTCCACACAGTACTCGAGAAGTAACGACACTTTTGAATGAAATGTTTCCTCAGCGTTGGATTGGACCCTTTGATCCCGTGCCGTGGCCACCTCGGTCACCCGATCTAACTCCAATGGACTTTTATCTTTGGAGTCACTTGAAGTCATTGGCTTACAAAACTCCAATTGCTACGGTGGAAGAATTGTGAAATCGTATACATGAAGCTGGTCACACAATCAGGGGGAATATCTGGAATTTGGGAAAATATTCGCCAAAATTGGGTGTCGGTGCCATGCTTGTATCCGCGCTAATGGGGATCAAATTCAACATTTTCTATAGAAATGGTAAGTTTTATTTCATTTTGTTCCATATTTTAATGGAGTTTGTTTAGTGCACACAGTTGACAACTACAGATGCTTGGGTGTGGTTTTGTTTGAGAACTCATGCAGTAACAACAATGCATTTAAGATAGTAATTACTATTAATTATTATAATAAGAAACTATCAGTTTTTTTTAAATATGTAATTTTCTTAGCTTGTACTTTTGTGTTGAAAAATTCCCCAAAAATTGAGAAGTATCTTTCTAGCTTTCAACGACGATTTGTTTACTGGTCAACAGCACGTAACTCATCCTACAGCACACGAACAGGACCGTTCCAGAGAAAATATTTTGATCCATAATTGAACTTAAACTTACGAAAAAAAAATGCAAAAGTAGAACTTTTTCGTATAAGACTTTTCTATTACAAATAGCGTTAGGAAGTTGTAGTTTAATTTTTATAGATTATACACACCACATCCTGTATATTTATTTCAATTATATTTAACTACCTCACTTACCTAAACCTATCCAGTATAAACACCATAATAATTTCTTATACATCCCTTGTACTAAATTTTGATGTGGTCCTTTGGAATTCATTAATATGTATACTGATAATACTGATATAAGACCTAGTGATACAAGTTTCTGATTTGTTAATATCCTAAAAAAAAAGAAAACAAACTGAATTCACAGTCCCCTATGCAAAAATACTCTTACAATGTTCCTTGTTAAATATCTTACTTTTTACCATATGTCGATAATAATATAATAACTTCTCTAATAAAATATTCAACCGTGACTATGGGTCTCTTCCATAACACCAAGCTCTCCCTGTCTTGTCTTTCTTTCTCTCTTTTCTGTTGTTCCGCATGATTCTTTGTTCTTATGTTGTTTTGTAAATTACTACCGTTAATTGTGGGGGCTCCGTCCTTTCTTGCACCACTTGTCATTTTGTTATCCAACCTTTGAACCTGGAAACAAATAAGTAACACCATTTTAATGGGATGGATCAAGATCAATTTGCACATTAATGTAAATTATTGTAACAAACACATACATAGCTGTCTAGCTACATGTTTCTAATTTGCAGTAATGTTATAAGGCTTTAAAAAAAAACGATATAAAAATATATGATAGCTGATCAATGATGTTTTGCAAAGCACATCTACAAAGTGTCTGGGAACAAATGGTCCTAACTTCAGTGGTATCTTCCTTGGGTGAATAAAAATCAATTTAGATCATGTCACCTTAATATAATTTTACTTGCCTAAATAGCTACGAACATTATAATTTTTTAAAGATAACTTTATAACCTTTTAAGGTATGTTTTTCTATAAAATTACGAAAATTGGACTTTAATTTTCTAAAGCAGTTGTAAGCTAATTAAAGAGTGAAGTTGAATATTTGGGAAGATTCTTGTCTAATTAGACTTCATCTTTTGTAAATTTGGAAGCAGAAAACAGACAAACAATCTATCAAATATAATTAAAACAGAAATATAATATCCAGTCTTGATAATGAAGAAATTGATTTTTCTAAACAACTATAACTGAAGTATGTGATATAGTGTTGCATACTCTTAACTGTCTACTTTTTTAGTGTGCGATTGGTTAAACAAAAATAATTTAAAAAAAAATACCGTTAACTAACTATTTTGTCATAAAATTTTATTTAATAAAATTTTTTACAAGTGGCATATCTGATACCCAATAAACAGAAAAGAACACACAATTTGTTGCTGTTTTAAAATTTACATGAATATTTATTCAAATATTAACACCTTATGAGATAAGATGAATTCAATCATAAAACAAGTTTAATAAAAGTATAAATTTAGCAAAAAGTTGAATTAGAATATCCCCAAATACTTCAAAATATATAGTACGAGTATATACTTTTTTTTTATAGTAAATACAGTGACATTTCATAAAACTTAGTATTTTCTCAAAATTTATAACAAAAAAAAA